ATGGCATTTCTAATAATTAATCATCGACGAAAATCACATTACCTAAGATAAATGAACATAAATTAAGGACAAAAACTCGAACCAGACAGAACGAAAAATGACACTGAAGATGGCACAATGCCGAAACCGGTTTGTCTGCAAACCAAACTTGACAAGGGAAGACGGAAATTCGTTCCAAAATAAATTATTTATGTAACCTTAATTTTTTAGAGTGGTGTATAGTGCTCTTGACGCACTGGTGAACTTACCGTCACTTTGTGTCATCATACATGGGGAAGCCTTAAAGGCCACCTGCAGACTAAAATGAAACGGATGTTGGCATAACACTAAGTGAGGCGATGCGGAAATTTCCGGCGGAAGATATTTCAGCACTTGTGTCTTCTTAATGCTACAGGATAGCACGCCACCATTACCTTTGTTGAAGAGATTCTATAGAGAGACAGAGAGAGAGTTCCCTGAAGGGGAATGCTGGTTTAATTCCAGCACTGAGCCCACACTCGTACATTGTCACTGATGGCTCCAAAACTCACTCAGGGTCAGGATCTGGAGCATTTTTCGAAGTTAATGAAGATAAGTTTCACTTTTTCTCTTGGTGAATATGCTTCCGTCTTCCAGGCTGAGCTATTTGCAATCCCCAAAGCCATAGACCATGTGGTGGAAAATAGGTGGAGGGGAAGGAGTTTAGTTGTCTACAGGTACAGCCAAGCTGCACTTAAGGCCTTGGCCAGCCCTCTAAGTACTTCCAAACTAGTTCGGCAATGCAATATAACGAGCTTGCTTTACTCGGGATGCCGGGCAACTCCGGAGTGCCTGGATATGAGACATCTGACCCGTTGGCCAGAGTTGGCTTAGACCAGACATTACTCGATCCGCAACCAGTTATAGCACTCACCACTTCGACCATCGAAGCCACCATCATAAACTGGGTGGATACTTTGGTCAGCAATGACTGGGACCCATAGAGTGGATGCAGGTGGGCAAAACTCATGTTGCCTTCAATCTCAGAAGCTCTATTTAGTTTTTTCCTCCCACTGAGAAAACGGGACTGCTGGCTGGTCATTTCAAGTGGCACAAACACCTGACTGTGATACGCGTAAATGACAACTCCATTTGAGCATCCTCGTTTGAAGAGGATGAGACGGTAGAACACTTCTTGAGCTTCTTGCTTGCTTGTTTGTTTACTATCGATTTATCTAGATTCGGTGTTTTCTTTTTTGTCAGTTTCTGAATTTGAAGTTTGGCATAAAAAGCTTTGCAGTTTTGTTCTTTCAAGTTTGTGTTTCAAAAATGCGAGTGACGAATACTTTTCGCATCACTTTAAAACTCGGAGCGATAAAAATAAAAATGGTGGCAGCAACACAAATAAACTATTTGACAAATACATAACATGCCAATTCATGAGTGAGCCGAACACATGGTACAATAAAAACAGGTAGAAGCCAAATTGACATCAAACCTAAAAAAGTCAAAGTTTTCGGGAGAGTAAAAATAAAAATGAGCGTGTGTAAGGAAAAATAAAAAATTACATTTCGCTGGTTGACGTTTTTGAGTAAATTTGAAGTTTAGTTTCTATTTATTTATTTTTCTTTAGTTAAAATTTGTTAATTTGTATGTTGTTTTATGTTTTTAATTTATGAGTTGTAGTGTTGTTGGAGGGACTTTCCGGCATAAGGGTCATAGGAACAGCACTTGGCATCAAACGTGCCTTTCCTGTACCTCCCGGTGCATTTATGAAATCTGCTGCTTTAAAATGTTTAACGCACAGCAAGGCTGCAGGCCTGCAGCTCTGGCCCACAGCTGCTTTCGCAACGCTTTTTACGCGAAGGACATTGAGGCACGTTAAATGGTATCTGCTTCATATTTAACACCACATAAAAAACAACGCTTCGGTGTTGCATTTTTAACACATACATTAAGTATAAACTGCACAACACTACAAAAATTCAAATGTTAATTAAAATTTGTTATTAACGAACATTAAAAAAAAAACAACGATATGACATTCAAAGCGTAACGAAATATAGGAAATAAAAGAAAACAAGTTGAAGTTTAAAGGTTTGGTTCTCATGAGAGCAACGTCATTTTGGCTTCTACCTGTATTTATGTGCCTTGAGCCGAACATGTGAGGAGTTTATTTGGTGCTCTTAAAAATATAACTCCTCAGAGCGAGATAGTTTTTTCGTGGCTTTACGAGCTCTGTTTTTTGAAACTTACTAGTGTGTAATCACATTATGTATTTAATAAATAGAACACAAGAAAATATTTTAATTTTATTTTTGCCACTCCGAATTTAGTTTTGGAATCTTCACATTTTTTGATTAGCTTTGGGAATATGTTAGAAGTGAGCACCCGAACCAGTTAAGTTTTGAAAAGGGGTCTACGAGAAAAATAAGTTTGGGAACCACTGCTTTAGAGCTTTAGCGACTATGCATTCGCTTCTATTATCTGTAGCCTCGTCTAAGGCTGCCAACTATCTTTACCTATGAATTGCAATATTGGAATGAAAACTATGGGATTCTTTCCCGTTTTGCATTAAAAAAAGAAAAACAGTTCAAAATTTAGTTTAGAGTTTACGAATATGTTACGATCTATTTACTAGGTATTTGGAATGTTTTTCGACGGATGGCGGATTAAAAATCATTTAGTAAAAAAGGTTTACATGCATAAGCTTAAAGTCTAGTTCTCAAGAAAAATATAAGAAATTTCTTGTGAACTGCATACTGATATAAGGAATTTTGAAATAAGAAAATTACTTTTTAATAATTTGAGCGTATTTTATATGATTTATTTATTTTTTTTGATTTTCTTGAGAGCTGGATACTATGCTTCAAAGATTTCAGCAGGACTAAGTAAATAATATCTAATAATGATACCGAGTTTCCGTTTATGGGATTTTCCAAGCAAAAGTGGTTGGACTATTCCTACCGGTCGGTTGGTAGTTAAAAATTAATAAAAACTTCGTTTTTTAGCCGCCTGTTATTTTAATTTTAATATAATAAAGTTTTAGGGGTCTTAAAAGTGGGCAACTAAAAATTTTCTAAAAATTTCCATTAAAAAGTTTGTTGAATTTTTTTAATTTTGTGTAAAATTTTAAACTTTGATTTATTTATGTAGTTTTGGTTAGACCAAGAACAATTAAAAAAAAAAATTTTGGGCATTTAAAAATTATGTAAACATTTTCATTAAAAAATTTGTTGAATTTTTTTGAATTTTGTATAAAGTTTTAAACTTTAATTTATGTATATAGTTTCTGTTAGAGCATGCAAAGTTTTTTATAAAAAATAAGTTTTACTTGGAAAATATTATGAATATTTAAAAAAATTACTCTGTGCATTTTCCTTAAAAACAACAGAGAAAAATATGAGAATGTGAAAAGCTTAAGATACTGGCCGGCAGGAAAAACGTCTGCAAATTTTCCCGCACGTTTGACGGTACTATGACATAACCCCAAGTGGCATAATTCAAATTTTAAAATTTGGAATTATGTCACTCCTTATACAGTGACAGAAAGCCAATTTTTTTACTAGGGGTTATGACACCTGTTATAATAATGTCACTTTTGAGCCTAAAGCATATTTTCCAGCTGTCAAGAAATACGAAAAAAAAAACATAAAACACGCTCAAGAAATGACAAATAAATTTTCTATAAATTTTTTTTCTGCGCAAAAATTCTTCCGCCACTCTTTTCCGGCAACACAGAATTGAGAATTCTACTTAGGGCCGTTTTCTCATCTAACCTTTAGTTTACCGGCCACTTTATCGTCTCGATATACGAGTTTTTGTTTTCTCATCAGCGCATTAATTTCTCGAATCGATAAACTGTTGCTCACCAGATGCAACCTTTAAAATTTGTACCCAACTTTAAATTTTGGTTTGGTTTTGGTTCATGAGTCAGATATATTAGATATTTCAACCAAGGTTTTGGCTTTTGCTAACAGTTGCTCTTGCTCTATATTTGCTTATGTCGCATTGCCAACCTTTGAAATTTTATGACGAATGTAGTGAAGTTTCACACTCGGAAACGTAGTGAAGTTTCACTCTACGGAATAACAAATTTATTTTTATCGGTAAGATAGGAAAATGAAAACACTTTAAAGTGAGGAACAATTTATCTGCCCTGTTAGTAAAGGCAACTTTACTGCTTACATTAGAAAACGGCCCTTAGTAAGGGTTATAATACCTAAACGCGGCTGAAGGCCTTGGATAATCGAACTATTTTTGGAACTCTTGGGATTTGCCGTGAGGCAAAAATTTATGAATATTCTCGCAATAATTGTTGCCTTAAACAGCAAATTTCATGAAGTCAATTTAAGTGAAAAATTATTTTAATTTTTTGCATTTTATATGGAAATTGACAGAAAATCAGAAATCATTTTCCATTTAAATTGCTGATGAAACCGACTATAAGTATGTATACATATAAACATTTTTCACACATTTTCGACCTTCTCAGACAGTGTACACATTTTTGGTTCCCAATATAGACTGTTGAGTAGGCTTACTAGTTAAACTGTAATGCAAATTCTGCAGAATTAGTACAAAATTAGGGCTGTTTTCTCATCTAAGCTTTAGATTACCGGCCACTTTATCGTCTCGATATACGAGTTTTCGTTTTCTCATCAGCGCATTAATTTCTCGAATCGATAAATTGTTGCTTACCCGTTGCAACCTTCAAAATTTGTACCCAACTTTAAATTTTGGTTTGGTTTTGGTTTATGAATCAGATATATTAGGTATTTCAACCAAGGTTTTGGTTTTTGCTAACAGTTGCTCTTGCTCTATATTTGCTTATGTTGCATTGCCAACCTTTGAAATTTTATGACGAATGTAGTGAAGTTTCACTCTCGGAAATGTAGTGAAGTTTCACTCTACGGAATAACAAATTTAGTTTTACCGGTAAGATAAGAAAACCAAAACACTTTAAAGTGAGGAACAATTTATCTGCCCTGTTAGTAAAGGCAACTATACTGCTTACATTAGAAAACGGCCCTTAGTAGATTTAATTTCTGAAAAGTACCAAGACTTTACAAATACATAAACAGAAATGTGCTTAATTGGACAATAACAATCTCTAATCACACAAACAAAATTAAAATACATGCAGACGAAAACAAATAATTGGCAACAATTCAATTAATCTACTTGCGTTGGCGGTATTCAATGCACTTGATCTCGACACTACGAAAAAAAAACAACGAAAAAATACATACATACATACATACAAATATGAACACCAAATAAATTATCCTGCTGCGTAAATTTCGCATTTCAACAAGCACAGCTACAGTTTTTTTTTCTAACTTTCATAATAAATATAGCGGCCTTTTAGGCGCGCAAGCTGTGTGTGTGTGTGTGTATGTGTGTGAGCTTTAGGTATATATTGTTATTGCGTCTGTGTCACATGAATTTCATATTTCATTAAAGTTCTATTATTATTTTGTATAAACATTTGCTGCTATTTTGCGTGATTGTTTTGCTATGAATCCTATTTTTTAGCTGATGTCCTACGGTGCCTCCTGTATACAATTGGAATAATCAACTGTTATTTGAATTAGCTGCTGGAGCACATTGCAACAACGGATTGATTGCTCATGCTGTTCATAAATTTGCATATATATATATATGTATCGTACAAATGCTTTTTCATCATCGAAGAAACCCCTCAATTCCAGCAGAGCTGCTCAGCTCATTAGTTTGCCAAACACATTACCTGCTCTGTGTGCGTTGAGTGGCTTACAGTGCTAATGTTTGTGTAAATACATTCGTCTCTCTATATTTATTTAAGTTCATTTTTCTCTCTATCTTTTGGAACTTTTGCCTCGTCGTTTCTTCACCCATCGCTGACTCTTAGCGGCAATTTGTAGCTGTTCTATGATCTACAGTCGTGCCGAGTCCTCGTTTCGTTTGTTAACTTAATTTTTGTCACTTCATTTTTTTTTTCAACTCGTTTCTGTTGATTTTGCATTTTACTACTAAACGTTGAGTACGGAATGCTTTTTACTGTTGCCGGCCGGCATCTGTACAGCAATCACCGCTAACCGCCCGTCCCGCAGTGGTGCAAGTATGTGTGTGTTGCCAGGTGTAACCACAACTGTTTGTATTGGAATATGCAGTGGAATGTCAAACACTGGCTTTAACCTGTAAGATATGAAAGAATACATTTACATACATATATTATATGTGAAAAGTAAATAAATAAGTATGTTTGTATTTACATATTTACATAAATAAATGAAGCAGTGAGTAATATATATGGAATTTTATGTAAATGCAGCCAGTTTAAGTTGCATTTTTCACTTCTAGTCGATTTTTGTCCTTCAAAAATAATCGACGCGTGTAAATGGCAATTCAACCAGTGACCGTAACTGTTATACTTTTGTCAAAAAAAGTCGATAAAAATCGTTATTTTTTCAGCGATATGTGTTCGTACAAAAATTAAGAGTTAAGGCGGATCATCGTTCTAGTTCCAATGAATTCGCCTTTAAGATCTGATTTTTATTTTTTGGTCAAATACGACAATTACATTTTGACTTAAATTTTTTTACTATGAATAAGAGTTAACATTTGGCTTCTATTTTTTCATTAAAAAATAACAGTAAAAATATCAATGTTATCTTTCGATCAAAAATAACAGTTTACTATCGATCTTCATATTGTTTTATTGCATTGTTTATTGGCTTATCATTGTACAAAATTTTATTATTTATTTTTGATAGAATAAATAAAAGTAAAATTTTAATTTTTTATTTTTTTTTTATAATTAAGAAGTCTGATGAGGAGATGTGGTGACCTCGGAAATAGCTGCTATAACTTCTACCGCTTAGACTTTGTTGCTTTTTCAATTTTTCCTAATAAAAACAATCGTGGTACAAAGCTCAATTAAAAATATTAAAAATAAAATGTTGCTGTAATTCTATAACAAAATAATAAACAGTAAATAAACAATGGAAAAATAGCCTAAACTGGTCAAAATGTGTGTTCCTATTAATTTTCACATGACTGTATATTTAAATATAAATTCTTTCCGTGTGACTTTTTGATTTGAAATTTCGAAAATAAATTAAATTTTTGATCTCTGCATATAACCGGTCGAGGTCGACAAAAATTGGCTGATCCAAAATAGACTTGTGCTCAATTTTTGCCAGTCGACGGCAACCCGAAGCAACCCTGAAAATTGATATGTACATACGGTGACGAGAATATAATTAGGAAAGAGACATTTTAGCAAGTTTTGGCTATTTTTCTTTGTTTAAAAAATGTGTATTTTTTTTTTTACGAAAATATAGCTCACTAACTAAACAGAACCATGTATATCAAAATTTCAAACTTTGTAGAAACTTTTAATCAGTTTTTTAGAATTAAAAGTATGCAGTTTTGTAGCCCATACATTTTTAGTAGCTACTTATAGTGCACGTTTGAAGTAGCTAAGACTTATCGTTGATTTTTGACAATTTTTTGTTCACGCATTTTCTCCCACACAAGGTATGTTCGCCAAGTTTTTTGTATGGAGAAAACAGCAACAGCTTCATAAAAAATAGCCAAAATTCAACGGTAAATGTTAGCTACTTAAAAGTTGTACTTTGTTATACTAAAAATTATTGGGCTGTATACTCACGATGTTTCTAAGAATCAAATGAAAAAGCTCAACATTTTTATGAAACGTTATCGAATTTTCCTAATTTTGGTACAAAGTTTAAAATTTAACTAACATGGTTTTTGTTAGATAACCAGCTACACTTTCATACAAAAAGGATAAACCTTAAATAAACGAAAGGGAAATAGCGAAAGAATGCTGATATGTCTCTTCTCTATTTATATTTTCGCCGCTTTTTTTAAATTTTTTTCAATCTTTCTGAATCGTGCACAAAGTTTTAAACTTTGACTTACATATATGGTTTATCTTATAGAATCTACCATATTTTTGTAAAAAATGAACGAAAAAATCGTAAAACATTGTGATTAATTTAAAAAAATAAATGTGTGCTATATACGTGAGCGCCACTGCACATTTATGCAAGCAGTGGAACAACATCTTCCGCTCACTAAATAAAACCGTCCAAGGAATCGGATTTCAGCGAGCTCGAAAGAACAACTGGTGTGATTAAAACTGTCACGCCTCTGATACGGAGGCTCTACTGGCTCGGTCACGTTCTGCGCAGGGATGCAATAGCTCCACCTCTGAAAGTATTCAGCGGGGTGTTCGCTGGTGATAAATGACAGAGCAAGGGGGACATCTCCTTTTCCATAGAAAGACCAGGTGGAGGGCTTAATTTTACTTGGAAAGAAAGTTCTGGTGAGTTATCTGCAAACGTGGCATGTCCGTGTTACGGCCGCAAAGAGCGTGCAAATCAACCAATTTCGGGCATGCGGCAATACTGTAAAAATAAACAGTGACTGGCCTAATGGAATAAAAGTTGGCATAGGATCGAGCATTCACAACATTACGCCGGTTTGGGACTTCAATACTAAGATACCTGTATGGTTTCCGAAGAGAAAAAAACTATTGATGCAGGACTTCCCGCGGCAGGTCGGGGTATATTTATCTATACTGATTGTTGAAATTGGAGCAAGAAACCGGAGCCAGTCTCTAACCGGGGGAAATACTGATCAACCAACTTCAAGCAGAGGTCTATGCTAAAGAGCAGGCGCCTGGGCTGTTACTGAATAAGAGGTTCAACGCAAACATACTTGCTGAGTGACTATACACATTTGACTAATGACATTTTATTTTCTTAAAAAATTTTGCATTTTCATTGCCCACTCCTTAGTGTTTGTGCTAAGAGTGACTGAGAAGGCAAAACTTTTCGGTAGAAAAGAAAACGCCATAAGTTTCAGTGAAAAAAGGTCTAGGTTTTTAGTTACTCTTGATCGTCCTTCTATTAATTTAAGCTTTTATTACTGGACATTGCTTGATGTGGATTCATAGTAAACGGATGACTTACCCCCTAAATGACTGATAGAACGAAAAAATATGGAAAGTGTTGAACAATTTAAAATGTTAGATTTCAAATATTTATAAAGTATTTCTTTCCGTTGGAGAGCAGATTTCTTATACACTTGTGGTCAGCTGATTAAGTCGCTTTGACTTTAACATTTGCACCCGAACATGTTAAACTTTTTATTGAGAATTTTTAGAAAAATTTTTAGTATGAAGTTTTGTGCTCATTAAATTTTAGCAGGTTAAAGTGCAAATTTTAAGACGCTAGAAAATCGTGTTGATTTTTAATAATTTTTTTGCTGATGGTGCTAGGCATTTTCTCCCATACAAACGAAATTGTCGAACATATTTTATATGGCAGAAAATGCACAACGTCAGCCAAAAAAATTATTAAAACTCAACGCGATTTTTTAGCGTCTTGACATTTGCACTATAAAACTGCACGCCAAAAATTTTTCTAAAAATTCTGAATAAAAAGTTTAACATGTTCGGGTGCAAATGTTAAAGTTTGTTAAATTTTCATAATTTTTGTGCGAAGTTTGAAATGTGCATTTATGAGACGCTGGTTAGGTAAAGTGCTAAACTTTTATAAAAAAATATAAACAATACATAAACAAAAGACAAATACCAAAACGAGTCAAAGTGTCACTTGACTTAATCAGCTGACCACAAGGGTACATATGTACGTATGTAGTCAAATCGCTTTTGCTTTGCACCAAAAAATGCTATACTTTCGTTACGAACGTTATAATGTGTCAGCGCTCTTTAACAAATAAAATGCCTACAAACAATGCGTTAATTTATTGGTCATAGATAATAATGAGATCTTGTAAAAGTTATAATTTAAAGATAAGACTTACGTGACACAATATTGGTGCGATATTTTCAGAAATTGTTTGCTCATCATATCATAAAATACGAGTACAATAAAAATAACACTGTGGTAGATTAAAACACCGACAGCCGGCGCACGGTGCGTAATTTCGGCGATTTAGGGGAAGGAAAATCATAGCGCCTACAATTTTGACCCTAGAAATTATTTTTTTTTTACTTATGTACTTCTAATATTTAGACTGTATAATTACGGTTTCATAGGATGTACGTGATTCCATAAGTACAATATTGTATATGGGCATTTCCAGGGGACGGTCTTTATAGTCAGAAAATAAAAGTTATATAGCTATGTTAGTGATGGTCGAATCTGATTTATTTTTTCAATGTATATTGGTTGCATATGCAGGAATATTTTTGGAAAAAAATTTTCCCGGAATTCCCTTAAACTCGTAAAGTCTTAAAACGTGTAAAACTCGTAAATTTACGAGGCTTTTATGGGAACGCCCCCTTTGTGAAAAGGTTTAAATAGGTGCGTAAAGCGACTGTTTGACAGATCAACCAGGATTTTGTGAAGCAATTTTTGTTTCGTAGTATTTTCATAACATCCCGCCATATTGTTTCTACCACTCTTGGCTAAAATACAATTGAAAATGCCGAAAATTAGCAGAAAACCTAAGTCAACACAGTTAGTGGATGAAATTTATTCATTTTAGTAGCGTATTATTTTTTTCATTTATTTTCATTTTTTTATCATACATTTTTGTATTAAAATTTCGGCATCTCGGCAACACGAGGTCATTTGCGCAACAAATTTGCTTCGTAAATTAACGAGGGGCTCGTAAATAGAGCTCTATACAAATTTTGACAGTTCTTTTACGAGGCTCGTAAATTTACGAGCTTAACGAGGTTTCAGAGGCTTTTACGAGTTTAAGGGAAGACCCATATATTTAACAGCACTTCTCCGAATTACACCGCTTCTTTCTTTCTCGGAATTAAAAAAAAAAAATATGAAAAATAGCTGTTAAACTTAAACCCAGATATGCGACAACAAGTATGCGATATCTCGCCTTTTAAATATATCTTATATCTTCTGCGATAAACGGTCTACACAAGCGATATATCTCTTACGATGTTTCGTATGCGAGCGCGGCATAGACGTGGACCTTTTTTTACATCTATTGCAGAAAGTTTGGCATCGTTGTTTTACTCGCCTAATTACGACATCAGTAATCTGCGGTTTTGGATTAAGGCCGGAAAATTGGCGATTATCGTTGGTCAACACAGGCATGTTTATACAAGCTCAGCATTCTTCCAGCTAATCTACCAAAAATCGGGGACCAATTTTCTATTATATCAGACATTCATACGCACATACATATATCGTATCTGAACTTTTTTTTAGCACTTTGATTTTCGATTTTCCTTCTCCTAAATCGCCCAAATTACGCACTGTGCGGCGCACGTACCTTCCAAAGCTAATTAAGTTGTACAGTTACTGATGATTATATCTATTCCCCAAAAAAAGAGTTCCCAGCACTCCTTAAGCGCTGGGTGGTATGAAAGCCGATTTTTTTTCGAGTAGAGTATAATCTTTGCCCGAAACGGACAACTTATCTGCTTCAAAATTGGGTAATTATGTACGTCTAGGGTCATGTTTATATTTGAAGATTAAAACACAACAAATATTTGTTATCAAAAAGGAGATAATCTACGAAATTTAGCTTTTTTGTTCTCAGTTAAAAGTTCAAATATGTACTTTAATATACTATTTAGTAGAAAGGCTCTAACTCATTTTCTTTTGAAATTCAACTCTGCACAAAAGTGAGAAAATTACTCACTAAAGACTTAAGCGAATATAAAAATAAAAACTACATAAAAAAATTAGTTTCTAAATATGTTCATTTAAACCAGTTTAATGAAGAAAATCGCAAATGAAGAGCTTACGTTTGTATAAGTTTTTATAAGTACTCTGTAAAGAAATAAAAATCTTAATTAGGGCCTTTTTATATTAAGGTAACGATGTGTAACCAGACTGTTAGTCGCCCACTTTTTGATTTTGTTATGATTTGTTGAAAATCATTCCTTTCAACGCAGGTAAGTCAAAGAAAATCTAACAGGTAGACCGATAGCAAACATGTGTTTGAATCGAAAAAAAACGAAACTAGAACTTGTTTGCAATAAGACAGCTTGTCTGTCTTGCATGTGTGTAGAGAGGGCAGATAGCGCAGTGCAAACATAAAATGTTGACTAAATTTGTACTTAAGTTTCTGAAAGTACATGACGAAACGAGCTAAATCCCATTTGCGGTTTTTGGTTTAGCTCCAGTTCGGATTTTAATGTCTCATGAATATTTTACCTGAAAATTGATTCTGAAAAAAATGCATTCTTTCTCCTGGACATATGTTGTAAACCAATAGGAATTTTGTTTTCCTGTCTCACAATAATTAAAGGCAGGGACATATCGAGCCTTAACCGCCAAAATAACGTAAGCGACATTTTTTTCAAAATTTTCTGTTTGATGCAGAAATGTTCCTAGAGCATCTAGAAGCACTTCTGCATTAAAAAGAAAATTTTGAAAAAAATGTCGCTTACGTTATTTTGGCGGTTAGGGCTCGATATATATTCATCGTTAACTCAATTTTCATCGCCATCTTAATCTTCATATTCAAATTTGTCTCCCTTTCATATTCAACTTTCATATTCGCCGTCATTTTCAACTTCAACTTCATCTTCATCTTCCTCTTCATCCTCAACTTCATCTTCATCTTCATCTTCATCTTCATCTTCATCTTCATCTTCA